AGCGCCACCCTTATTGGCCGGGCAGCACAGGGCTGCTTGTCCAGGCAGCAGCAGCACCAGGAGCAGCTGGGACATTCTGCCCCTCTCCATGTGCCCCGTGCCAGGGCCACGGCTCGCAGGAGCAGGGAGAAGAAATTAACCAGACGCAGTGAGCGGTACTGGCGCGCACACCCTCGCTTCCAGCCCCTTTGGTGCCTGGGCTGCATTTCCGGGGGGAGCCAAGAGTTTCTTGGGCGGTCTGTCCTATCCGGATGATGTAATCTGCGAGGGGAAAACCTTCTCCAGTGCTATGTAAATATGGAGAAATACTGATACTCGCTCCTTTCACGCGTAGGCACCAACCCCAGAGTTCTGCCTTACAAATACACATCATTGACGCAGTCCTGGCAACCAAAATCTTAGCGTACAGAGGGAATAAGACTGTTCCTCTAATTCCTCATGGGAGATTAACTGTTGTCTAACTCCTCCTCATGAAATTTCAGTACTGCTGATTGGGCACTCAGTTTACCCTCACTCAAGGGTGTATTTTTTTGGCGGGGGGGGGGGGGGTTTTTTTTTTTGGGGGGGGGGGGGGGATTTTTTTCTTAGGTTTGGGTCCTTTTCCTTCCAAAAAAGCACAGGTGCCGGATTTTTGTTTAACATCTCAGCTGCAAACTCTAGAAAACCTGCTTTCGAAAGCGATGAGTTTGCAAGGCGGACAGTCAATATAGTTAGGGGGTAAAAACCAACAACGAAGGGTCCCGTGGCACCTGAAAGCCTAACCGATTTATTTTGGGGGCATAAGCTATTGTGGGCGAAGACTCACTTCCTCAGATGCATATTTTAGATGACTGTATTAGGAGATCGCAATTCTTTCCTGAGGGGGTCCCAGGGCATTTTGTTAGATCATGGTTCTTAAGCCAACTCCCTGTCTGTCTGGGTACCTTGTAAACCAAAGCACAGGGCAGTACAATTAGAGTCCAGAATTTACACTGTTCTGTCCCCCGCACGTATTCGACAAGAAGAAGAAAAGAAAGATGAAACATCGAGATTGAAGGAATTGAGAATATTAATACCTAAGCGGAAAAGATGGATGGGGAAAATTCAAAGAAAGGGGGAATGCTCACGTTTTTTGAAGAGAACTGTGACTTGTTTATCAATTACTTAATGTAGTTTTATTTTCCCCAACCTCAGGCTGTTCACTGTGAAAAACACAGGGAGCCTCAGCCGGAGTGGTCTCAGATAGTAGAGGGCAGATCCCCAGAGAGAGTAAATCGTTTTAATTCCTTTGATTTCAGTAGAGCTGAGGCCATTTGCCCCAGCTGAGGATCTGCTCCTGGGTATGCTGAGGCCGTGTGCGATGGAAACTTTCATTGATAAAAATCTGAATCCAGTGCCCTGATTTCTTTGTGCGTGGCTCGAATCTTCGTCGCTGACGTGCACAGCGGAGACTTTTCTCGTTGGAGTATAGAAATCACTGTGCAAACTGGCTACTTCGTTGTTGCTTTATTATTGTAGTTGCGAACAGTGAGGTTGGACTCGTGGTTGCATTTTCCCCTCTGGCTCAAACAAATTGAAAATTGCGCCATCCTTTATAAAGAGGGGTGTGAAATACAGATGGATTACTCGAAGGAAACACACCACACAGCTCCAAGCAGCTGCCCAGCACACACACAAGGTGCATGTGCAAAGCGCTGGGGTTGTCAGAGTTTCATTGACTTTGGGATTATGTCACTCTACAATGACCAATAGGCCTTTGCCATTTGACATTTCCTTCCTCCCTTGGAATGATGGTTTGCCGGGGGACGGGGCTATTTTAGCATTTGCTCCTAAAGTATAAGAGCTGGTTCCTAGATCATTGCCAATGTGCCCAGCGCTTTATGGCAACTGGATGTTTGTATTGCAGGAAAGAATGGAATATTGGGGGCATCGCTCCTTAGTGGTACCTCTTTAAAAGACTTGAAAAGCAAAGGATTTCCTATGTATTATCCCTGCTTGCTTCTCATTGCATTTGAGAAGATGATCTGCTCAGCTCCCAGTAGTAGGCTAGTACTACTGCTGTGACAGTTGCTGACAATGCAAAAGTAACTGACAATGCAAAAGTAACTCTTCTTTCTTTCTTTCTTTCTTTCTTTCTTTCTTTCTTTCTTTCTTTCTTTCTTTCTTTCTTTCTTTCTTTCTTTCTTTCTTTCTTTCTTTCTTTCTTTCTTTCTTTCTTTCTTTCTTTCTTTCTTTCTTTCTTTCTTTCTTTCTTTCTTTCTTTCTTTCTTTCTTTCTTTCTTTCTTTCTTTCTTTCTTTCCAGGCAGTAAAAATGTAGCTAGGCTATGTCTACACTGGCGGATTCTTGCGCAAGAACGGCTGTACTTGCGGAAGAAGCCGCCAGTATAGACATAATATCGAAGGGCAACCTAAACATTACCTAGCCAGGAAACAATATGGTAGGGGAAGGTGTGGGCAGAGCATCCATGGGAAGCAAGTCGAGCGTAAAACACTTTAGCCTAAAAAGATGCAACCAGCCCTGTCTTCCCGGGAAATCATTGATCTCCGTGGCTTGGTTCTAAAACGAATGACACGATTGAACTTCGAGCGCGTTTAGTAGCGCATGGTGGTGGTGGACGGGTCAGGCGAGTCTAGTCTGCGTGTTATGCCTTAATCTAAAGTACAGGAAAATCCATGTGAAGAACCTAAACAAACATTTCCCCCGTTTCCCCACCTTAACGAATAGGGAAGCAGTGTCTGGGGAGACAGTGATCTTCAGGGCACGCTTCTCTACCTAATGGAAAACTCAGGGCAAGCAAAAGGCCATCGGCAGCCGAACAAATGTTAACAATAGCGAAGGAAAGAAAGAAATCTCCTAACTGCGGGGTTGCTGAATGTGCCAGCTCAGTTATTTTCATGCTGCAGCTCGTATGAAATGCCTGGTTTTCTTAGCTGCACGGGGGGGTTCAACGAAGAGTTGCATGATCTGTTATTTATCCACCGCTAGAGCCTCCTGGCACCCTGCATCAGATGGGTTTTGAATACATCACAAATCAGCTGCTAGAAAGAGAGTTAGGCTGAGTCCCTTCAGGTACTGGCAACACAAGAACAAGTCCGGAGCCCGAACCGACACTTCTCACAGCCTACCGAGGGGTTCCAAGCGAGCCGCTAGGCAGCCTCTAGTTAACACTGTAAAGGACATTCCATCTAACCCCTTCTTCTCAGCTGGCCTCGGCCTTTTGAAGGCTGAGTTCTCTGGATTTCCGCCCACAGGTGAGAGCTTCCACTGTGTAAAGTTCAAAGACAATCAGTTCCGTATATTTGAATTATGCAACTTGCCAGGGAGGATGGGAGGAAAATGCAGGGGAAAAAAAAGATACCTTGACAACTTTGGGGGGCTCAGATAACATAAAACTATCTTTATTGAAAATCTGCCACGTGGTACTCTGGGAGGTTTGCCTGAGCGAGGACTGCAGGAGCCAGTTCCTCGCATATTTGCAGCTTGAAATGAAGAATGCCACATGTATTGTATTTTTTAAACACACACTTGTTAGAAATAAGGATATAATGATGCTCGAAGCGCAGGCGGAGCTTTGTTTCCTCGCAGACAGCCAGCAGCCACGTTGTAGAGAAGTGATCATTGACCTAGCTGTAAGGAATTCCACTACATTTCATATTCAAAAGAGAGGCCTCTGATTATTCCAGACCATTCAGTAGGCCTTTTTGGACCAGAGTCTGGGGGAATTTATGGGGTTGGATCTTACAATGAGATGGAATGCAGCATACAACAGCAGAGACTTCTTAATTATTCTGTCATCTGGCAGAATCCTAAAACTGTCACACTCACATCTGTATTACAGAAGCAAAAGTGCATTTTGAGATGAATAAATGATGAGGCTCCTAGGAAGGTGAAGTTGCAACAACTAGATGATTGAAAGATCAGGACTGTGCTGGTCAAGGTGACCTTGATCACATTTGGGTTTTAAAAAAGGTCATGGATGGTCCTGTACACTGTAGACACCATCCAAGATGGGACCACTTCAGAAGGAAAAAAGACAAAACCAAAATTGGATTGTCCTTTAGCTTAAGAGATAACACCACTTCTTTTAGGTGTAGTGGCTCAGTGTTCAGTTGTGTGTTATGGGACCATGAGAATTCTAGTTTACATTTTTTTAAATCAATGAAATTCAATGAGAAAAGTGTATGAATTGAAACACACCAGTGATGAATTAGAAAGGTAATGTTTCCACCAGTATTAACTCAGTTACACACACTCACACACATGAATGCTTAGATTTAACTGGATGTCCAGTAATGCAACATAAGCCACACAAAGGTGGTTGGCTGCACTAATGATGATGTGAAAAGCATTACCTTTAGAATTTCTTGATATATTGTACAGTCCGGGCCTGATGCAAAGCCCTTTGAAACAGGAGGAATCTTTCCACTGGTTTCTATGAACTGTGATCAGTCCCATACATTCTAATCCTAAAGACACTG